AACGTGTATACTAGCGCAGAGAGGACGTGTTTACTAGCGCCACCGAACTGACAGCGCGGCGCTGATCAGTTACAACAGCGCAGCGCGAACATTACTCTTCCTCTTCTTCTTCATGTTTTATGGCGGGTGGCATCCAACGTTACGGTGCATTACCTGCATTACCGCCACCTACTGTGCGAACATTACTCTCCGCAAAAGTTCGTGTTTTTTTCCTGCACATAACATAATGAAGAGTTATTACATTTCTTTTGCTTTTTTCGTCCCACATTTGGGTTGTTTGGCTTCCCATAATTTCCCTCACTATATGAGTGAGAGAGCGGCGCCGGCGCGTCCAGTTTTATGTGAACAAAACTGGATGCTCATCCTCTCTCTCAGATATTACAAGTGCGCGTTATGCAGTGGGCACCGACCGGCAGAAACATAAATCTGCCTATGGCATGGACGACGAAACAAAACCTCGTCAGAGCCGTAATGCGGCGCAGAAGTGTGCAGTGTGTGTGCTTGCCGCGCGTCTATATTTGAAATAACGAACCTGAGCGTGCAAAAGAGGCGATGTGAATGGCTTTTTCCCCCTGCATTTCTTGTGTGCGGGGCTCCGTTTTTATGATGAGAGGAGAGGAAAGTTTGAGAAAGCACTCCAGGTAAATTTTGAAATGTACCAGGCTTATATATAGGCTATATATAAAGTTGATAAGCAGTTATGTGTTGGTTTACATGCAAAGAAAAGTGTAAGCTTTTAATAAGTCCAAGAATAAAATTATTAATTTCCTTAGCATGTTCAATTTGATTTACAGAACGTTTGTGATGTTTTTTTAACAGTTTGGGCTTGAATAAAGAGAGACAACTTGCACTTAACCTTTTCACAGGCATTTTGTTTTCATAGTTAGACAGATATCGTGATGTATCATTATAGAATTGTCTAGCAATATATCCATTATCGCAGAATCGATGTATCGTGATATTATCGTACCGTGAGCCATGTATCGTGATCAGTGGTGTAATGTAACGGAGTAATAATACTTCGTTACAGTACTTAAGTGTTTTTTTGGGAGTATCTGTACTTTACTTGAATTTTTATATTTCAGACAACTTTTACTTTTACTCCACTACATTTCCTAATTAAAATGTATACTTTTACTCCGATACATTTCCCCGAAGCATATTCGTTACTTACTACAAAATAGTCAGAAGTCAGAAGAACACGGACTGCAGGAAAGCAGGTTTGACGAATCAGTGGTCTGGCGTCTGCAAGTTAGACTCTTAAAAACACCTTTTGCTCATGTGCAAACAAGTGCGCGCAACCGCGGTTGATTTCATTTTCCACTCCAGTCGAGTCTGGGGTCTGCGATATACATCTACGATAATATGGTAAGTGTTGTAATGATGTGCGAGCTGACATTATCGAGTATATCACCAAATCACACACACACACACACACACACACACAGAGTGCATGCACGTGTTTTATTAGTCTATTAAAACTCAAAATTCAAGGTATTCTAAATTGTAGATAGCAAAAATGCTTCTGTATGCTTTTTATATTTATATAATTTAATATAGTTACCTTAATCTATGTCACACAAAGAGTACCGTTTTTCTGCAGATACAGTATCAGCATAACAAATTTAATAATCATTTTATACAAGTTCAGTAAAGTTAGCAATAAGTGACTTAGCCTATATTTTAGACATAATATTGCTTGTTTAGCAGTTTGAACGAATCTGTTGAAGCTCAATGACTCACTCATTTGTCAGTCACTTGCTGTCACCTACTGGCGGTTTTAATTTTACATTTTGACTATTTTTTTTTCATGTTTTAAAATAATTTAAAATAACAGTGTTCAACGTTTTATGTTAAAAACAAAACATTATTTATTCATTCATTTATCAACTGCAGGTTAAATGCATCCATATCCCCTCTACATTAAACTGTAAATACATCTAAACATCACTTCAGATGCAGATTCCAGAAATGTTTTCTTATGTTGGAATGAAATAAACTAAGTACCGGAAGAAGTGCTTCTTATTCATACCCAAAAATGCTAAATGGAAGAAAGAGTTAAAACTGAACACAATCTTGCTACTCAAGCTGTGTATCAGCTTGAGTTGAGTTGTAAAATCAGCATTTACTTGTACTTTTACTTTCAATACTTAAGTACGTTTAAGATTTAAAAAATACTTTTCGTACTTAAGTACAATAAATATCAAATACTTTAAGACTTTTACTCAAGTAATATTCTAAACGGTGCCTTCAACTTCTACCAACGTCATTTTCTGGTACGATATCTGTACTTTTACTTGAGTATGGCTTTCAGGTACATTATACACCACTGATCGTGATTCATATAGTATCGTGAGGTACCCTGCGATTCCTACCGCTATAATTTAGTACAAT